GGCATCAGATCAGCTTATGTCGGCCTTAGTGGCCACTTGGGGAGTAAATCAATGTATGAAAGATCTTCCTCTCTGTGTCTCCTCCTCTGTGTATATCTGACTTTCCAATAAAAAAATAAATAAATCTTAAAAAAAAAAACCTCATGGATGTAGCTCCAGTTTACAAAAATGAGTCATTTTCTCTCTTTCCCTGTGGAATTGTGTGTTTTGCATGCATGTAGGTATTCAGGGCTTGCTTTGTGCTAATCCATCTCTTGTAATGAAAAGAATTTGTTTACAATGCCCAGGGCAAATTCAAGAAAATTGTGATGGGCAGAATTAAATTCCAAAGCTTCCTACTGCATTATGAAACAGCCTACAGAAAGAACAGCAAGAACACATTTACATTCAGCAAAGATAAAACTATAAACATGATTGTACAGTGAGCATAAATTATGTCTCTTTTTAAAGTTTACTTATTTTTATTTATTTGATAGAGAAAGGGAGAGAGAGATTCCACCTAACTGGTTTACTCCTCAAATGCTCATACCAGCTGGAACTGGGCCAGGCCAAAGTCAAGAGCCAGGGACTCCATCTGAATTTCCCATGTAAGTGCCAGAACCCAAGAGCTTAACATACCGCTGTGTCCCGGGGTGGGCGTTGGCAGGAGGCTGAATGGGAAGTGGAGGCAGGACTCCTCCCCAGCTCTACAATACAGGGAGTGGGTATCCTAAGCAGTGGGGTGATTCATTGCACCCCAAGGTGTGCCTCACACTTTACGCGCATCTATCACTCTTTCTTAGGTAGAACTTTAGAGTTCTCTCCAAGCAGTTTGGAGCTAAACTATCTGAAACTTTGACGCTAGCTACCCACACAGGAAAAACACTTCTCAACCCATACACTGGGACCAAGAATCACTACACTTTGTAGTTTAATAATTCATAGTTTAAGGAAAAGAGAGTGCTAACATGCTGCCTGGATGCACAGTCCCAAAATCCTGACTCATACATGGCACTGTGGAAGACAGCCAACATACTTCCATGAGACTGCAAAGGACAGAGACACTTTGCAGACGTCAGAACCCACTGTCACTTACCCAGGGTTAACACCAGAGACTACAGTGTCCACAACAACTTTGACAGCAACCTGGTAACATGAAGAAAGTATTTTGTTTGGGGGGGGGGAGTGATCTGTAACCACTTATTGACATTATCATTTGTGGACACTTTTGGATACTATTTCCAATTCAGTTACTCAAATGATGCTATTTTATGTTTACATACATAATAAATGTCACTGAAAAAAATTCAGTTTTATTTTACTTTATGCAAGTGAATGACCAAAGGATTAAAAATATCCCTTTCTGTCTTTAAACAGCCCAATATGCAATCATCATCATACTAACAGTAATAATAATAAATCATTCACACATTAAAAAAAATAGAGTAATGAAGCTGCAATCTGTATCTTGTTTTTTGATGCCATCTCTCTCCTCCAGTCTACTTGCCAGAGATAGTTCAAGTGCATTTCTTCCAAAAGCCACTAATTCAATAGGCTAGTAGGCAGTTATCGTCCTTCTAGCCTACAACTAGAAAAATATTCCTGCAGCTATTGCTGTACAATTTCCTGCCACCAAAGGGTGAAAAATCAAGTGATGAGGTCGTGGGAAGAGAAAAGCCAGCTGGGCTGACTTCACCAGCCACCTCCCAAGGAGGGTTCCCCCTTTCAGGACTCAAAACCAGACTGAAATATTCCATGGTGATTTTAATGAAGATCCAAGCAACACACTCTGAAAACCGAGGCAAACCACGTGGGCTCAGAATTGGCAGGAAACAGTTTGAACCCAGGTATTAGCTGTGCAAACACGAACATGCTATAGTCCATCACAAGCCAAGCAAATCTCGCCTGTCCAGGCTGGGTGAGTAATAAACCACGTAAAGAAAATCCTTCACTCTGCCCAGAAATGGCCTTCTCTGAACTTATCTGCATCTCGAAACCCTCTAAACACAAAGAAATTCTACACAAGGACATTCTCAGAGAATTAAAAACTGAGGGGTATTTGGCAATATAAGTTTTAAACCATGTTTTCTTCATTGTCTAAATACTGCAGGCCCATTTAAAGTTTTTTTTTTTTAATACACTTAATTAAAGATAAGCTTTACTTTCTCAGAAAAGAACTTTCTGAAGGCAGCATGTTAAATGCTTAGACTGTTCCTTAAGCACATTGGGTGCCTCATCTTTCAATCAAAGGGGTTATTGTTGAAAATTATGGTTTTCAGTAATAGGTAATAGGCAGAAATTTGTATTGAAATGGAGTATATTTAGCTCTGAGAACTGACCAGGTCCGATTTCAAGGATACTTCACTCTTTGTACTGAACTGGAAAAGTCCCAATATCCTGTAAATGCTTTTCTATTATCCTCACCACCCTCACCTCAAAAGTCACAGTCAAGACTCATGGCTGTGCAAGCCTTCAACTCATTTGGCTGTCCCTAAAGACAGACACATTTTTGAAACTTAAAAAAGTTATCTCAGATAGCTAACCAGACAAGCTCTCTAACCCTGGGGCCTTCAAATCCCCTCTGTAGCGGCTGGCTGGAGCTGAGCCGATGCGCCCAGCTGAGCTGAGGCTCACACGGGGAAGAAGCTGCAGACATTCCACAGCTGCCTGCCACAGCTCCCCTCCCCGGGACGTGGGGCTGGGCCTTGGCTGCAGGTTCTATCTGCTCAGTCACTGCACAGTAACTGGGGACCCCGGGCTGAGCCAAAGAAATCCCAGGGCAGCTTAAATTTCTCCCAGTTCTGCAGCAAAAAGTAACATTACTTAAAGAGGAACCATAATTTTCAACAAGCATGTGGCCCAAGGCCAAAAAAAAAAAAAAAAATGAAGAAGAACATCTGGAAAAAGAGCAAATAAAAGATCTTTCATATTTTTTAAAAATTTCAGCTACTTACAGGAGATCTTTCTTGGGTCTTTGTTAAGGAAATAACTATAACTCTTGACCTTAATTCCTGATCCACTTTCTAAATTTGGGAGAAGGGGTGGAAAACAGCCAAGTTGAAGAAACAGAGCTTAACAGCTAATTTAACAATTGTAATGTAATACATCCATTGGGATTTAAAGGGATAACATGTATGTGATGGTCATATTATAAAAGTTCTTACAAATTCTTTCAAACATCTTAAAGACTTAAATAATTGTATTGGATAATTGTATTCTGTGGCATGACTAAAAACAAGCATGTAGAAAATATTGTTCCTTACTAGAGAACACCCGAAGCCCCTGGCAGCTGACACTTCCTTAGGGTAAGCCACAGGAGAAGGAGCCAGGAATAGAGTTCTACTGAAGAAAGGCCAACGGCATTCCATAATGGAACGCCAATCGGAGTCCTCCACTCTGCTTCCAATCAGCTCTCTGCTGATGTGCTTGGAAATGAAGCAGACAACAGCCCACCTCCATGGGCTCTTGTCACCCACATGGGAGGCCTGGAGAGAGCTCTGGGCTCCTGGTTTTGGCCTGGAACAGCCCAGAAATTGTAGACTTTTAGGGAGTGAATCAGCAGATGAAAGATCTATCTCTCTTCCCTCTTTCTTCTCTCTTATCACTTGGCCTTCCAAACAAAAGAATAAATCTTTTTCAAAAAGGAAGAAATGTACAGTCTATTATTTCTCTCAAGATTATTCTCCACTAATCATTTTCTCCAAGGATAGTAAAGGATAATGTGTAGTAGCATATGGTATTTTTATAGCTTGGATGGATAATATTGTTACAATTATTACATGATCAGAAAACTGTCATTTTACCATCGCATTATGCCCCTTGCAAGGATTCACTGGATATGATCATGAAAACAGTAACAAAGATGATGTTAAAATCCACTGTGCATTGGTGTGATCCAAGCACTGTGTTAAAAGACATCACTTCAACTTCTCAACTTTATTATCCCCATTTTATGGATGAAGAGATTAACTTAGAAGATCACTGAACTGTTAAGTGGGTCAGCCAGAATTGAAATGTTTTTAACTTTAAAGTCCATGATCTGGTTATTATGCTTTACAGACAAAGTTGAAAATGGCATTTGTGTGTTAATTTGGAATATCTTAAGTATTTTTGAAATGAGTTTTACAGCTTTATATTATGTCATTAAATTGCTCAATTTAGAGAAAAAACAGCATCTCCATAGGAGATCTTAGGTAATCTGACATTATTATAACACACCCCTTTTTTTCCTGTAACTGTTGATATTTTAGTAACCAGAAAAAGGTTATATGAGAACCTACATGTTAGTAATGCAATCCCCTGAATGTTCCTATATTCTGAAACCCTAAATTGCAGAGTCCTGCCTTCCTGTTTTGATTCTCAAAACTACAATGCAAGAAAGCTAACAGACACTTAAGCTTGTAATATATAACAAATACTCAAACACATAAACACTAAACTAGGCCTGAAAATTTAGAGAAACTCTGATTTCATGTCCATTCTAAAATATTAGTAACACTGCAAACCTCCAAAGGTCTTTGTTTACAGTTCAACAACATTCTTCCAAGGCAATGCAACAGTGCACCCCCCGCAACAGAGAGGGCTACACACGGCAGAGGCTGACGACATATGGGTGTGCATGCAACTTCTGCTTAATGGAAGTTCCAAGATGTAACAGATAAAAAATGATGTGTGAGATGGTGGAAAAAAGTGTAAGGCAAGTCAATTTTTTAATTAAAAAATTATGTAGCATAAACAATGCTAATGAGCCAAAAGCCCCAAGAGATCAGGATCGTATCTGCTTGGTTTTAACATTCCATTCGCTTTTCATAAGTGTACATCCACTCACTGGAAATACCTCAAGCAGAACCCATTGTGTAAAACAAAGCTTTGAAGACTATCTTTGTTCCTGTTTGGGAGAGCTCAAGTTGTCAACCTAATGACAAATTATACACCTGAGCGTGTGCACACACACACACAGAGGCACACACTTGTGAAAAAGAATCCTAAACTCTTCCAATGAATTACCAGAAAAAAAGTACCTGGAAGTTCTTCGTAAATCTCTTCATCTACCGGCTGGTGGTGGGTTGGTGGGCTGCTGGCCGGCAGGGGGTGGTCAACATCATCATAGACTTCTCCTCTTTCATCGTCGTCCTCAGGAATCACATCAGATTCCATGTCTGGAAAATGTATTTGACAAAGCAGATGTGCAAAAGAATGAAAGAGAGATTTTTAAGACTACATGCCTAAAAAAATGTCTATCAGGTCACAATACTCTTAGGCACTATATCCTTAATTTAAGGAAAAAAATTAAAAATTGGGTTTTTGGTTTTTTTTGTAAATATGTGAATTTTGAAGATGTTAACTGATACTTAGAGAAAAGATGCTTTTAGCAGTCTGGAGTCCATATGGACACCAGTTCAAGCCCTGGCTGCTTCACTTCTGATCCAGCTCCCTGCTGGTGTTCCCAGAAAAGCAGCCGAGGGTGGCACTAGAGATTAGGACCTGTGCCCACACGGAAGACCTACAGGAATTTCCAGGCTCCTGGCTGTTAGTGGCCATTTGGAGAGAGAACCAGTGAACAGAAATTTCTTTCTCCTTCTCATTGTCTCCTCTCTCTTTAAACACGCCTTGCAAATGAAAACAAATAAATCTTTAAAAAAAATAGAAAAGAAACCTAAAATCAATACCAGTTATGGCTTGTTCATCCCAGTCATGATCCCTTGGCCATACCCAAGAGAAGTCAACAAGCCTAGGACACGGTCATCCACATCACTTGTTATTCAGAAGACATCTGAGTGCTCTTACCCTGTAATACAAACTTCAGCTGCTGTACCCATTCCTCAGCATCTTTGGGAGAAGCTGCTGTAAACTAATAAACAGCAGATATTAAAAACAAAAGCCACAACAGCAGGCATGAAACAGAGGTCACGTTCTTATCATTTCTTTAAGACCATTAGTAATTCTTTTCATGTCTAGTGGTACTTTTCTTGCAAGGATGCTTCTTATAATGTACAGTTAATTTTGACAAATTTACGTAATTGAAGCAGAGGATGATGGATTTGAGACTCTGATCAGCAGCTGGCAGCTGTGCAGGAAAAAAAGCTGCTTCTCTTCATCAATGTCAAAGACAGAACTGATGAACAAAATTTGCCCTTGACAATTAGAAGACACCCATGAATTTCTTTAGACTGCTGGATACAGTTTTCTTAAAAATGTTCTTGTCAGATTCCAACACACTACCTGACAACTTAATTAACTGGCTTTCAACTGCAATCTCAGATATTTAAAACTTATTAAACATACATTCCATAGTGACGCCGAGCTGATAGCTCTGGATTTGCAGAGCTGATGCGAGACTTAACCCACAACTCTAAGCAATACAATATGCATGAACACGGTGATATTTCTATTTGATAATATTACTCTTTCTGCTATGTAATTCTTTTAGGAAATTACATAGTTCTATTAAAATAGATATAAAATGCAACATGTGAAGTAAGTGATAAATGACAGATTTGCTTGATCTTCTTCAAGAGGATATCATTTGAACTGATCTGAAATTTTTAAGAAATGTATTTCCCCTTTTATGCATGCTCAATGTACAAAAAATACACACTTAGTATTAATACGTCAAGGAGAGTTGTTTTAACAAATTGTTAATATATTCAGAAGTGAAATGAGCACATTTTATCAACTTAATTTCAAGGCAACATGACTCCAACCTGATAGATGCGTTTATCAGGAGCAGAGATTTCAAAACAGCAATCCTTCTTTGCATCTTTCCTGAGAGTGTTATTCATTCTGACACTGTAGCCATCTATTGCAAATTCACCTTTCTGTTGTTTGTCTGTTCAAGAGAAAGGCAGAGTTGGAATTTCTGTTACTGCTGTGAATATAAATGCACAGTTATCTTCTTATAGAGACTTTCGTAATTCTTGGAAAGCATTTTTATTGGTCATACCATTGAAGAACGTCTCAGGAAATCACATTTCATTCTAAAATATGGACGTACTGTGAATGCCAGGGAACCAGCGGATGAGATCTGCAGTGGTCAGTCTTACTCAAAAGGAAGTATGGAAATACGACACTTTCAAAGCAGGACAAACCTAGCAACTTGAACTTAGAACCTGCTAGATAACCTTGCTATAAGCCCATTGCTCTTTAATTTTATGCCAGAGGGAAAAGTCAGACATTTGGAAACCTTCTGGGCATTATTTACCTTTATTTTCCTTTCACAGAAACCCTTCCAGCACCACCACAACCAACAACAAAACAATCTAACAAAAAGCCCTAGAGTCATGGCTGACAGAAGGCTCCAGTACTTGAGTCCCTTGCCATCCACCTGAGGCAAGCGGATGTTGTTCCTGGCTCCTGGATTCAGCCTGGTCTAACTCCAGCTGTGGCGGGTACAAGCATCTGGGGAGTGACCCAGCAGACCGAAGCACTCAATCTACCTCTCTGTCTGTATCCCTGCCTCTCAGATAAATAAAATACATTTAAAAATTTTAAACCCTAAATTTTAAAACTGAAACAGCAAATCACTAATTAGATAGGTAGGTAGGCAGACAGATAGATAGATAACAGATGTGAAGAAATAACAAATTATTTGGATGGAGGAGAGTCATGCAGCAAGTCCAGAGGCCTAAGCTGCAAACCAAGCGGCTCCTTCACAGCCACTACAGAGCAGGATGAGCATCTTCACAAACGAAGACACGTCCGAAGGAGAGAGTCCCTGAGCTTGGGCCAGATACGATCTGAAAGGCAGCAGTAGGATTACAACAAAGGATTTAATACCCTGAATTTGAAAATAAAATGAATTCTTGGCTACCTTTGTTGACAGGAAAAGCTATAAGTCTTCTAGATTAAGACACAATATCGACACCAAGGGTAAGGACAAACTGTCCATTTCCCTGAGCTCAGGAGAGTAAGACAAGTGCTTCCACACGATGGGACAAAGCGCTCTCCAAACGCAGTGCTCCAAAGACACAAGTGCTGCCTTTTTAAAAAGATAATCATTGGATGCCTGAAGTGACCTACATTTTTGAAAGGCCACAAGATTCTATCTTACTTAAACATGTCAAATAAGAAAAACCCAAGCTAGAAATTCTTTTCATTGATACACTTAATTTGAATTTGGAAGGCAGAGTCATTGATGGAGATCTTCCATCTGCTGGTTCACCTCCCAGATTCCTGCAACAACCAGGACCCAATCCAGGTCTCCTACATGGTGGCAAGGACGCGGCCATGTAAGCCATCACATGGCTTTATGGGTGCATATTAGCAGGAAGCTGAAATCAGCAGCAGTGCTGGGACTCCAAAGCTGCAACTGGAGGCAGACCTAGGACTCAGATCCAGGATTTCCCAGACCAGATCTGAAGGAAAGACTCCATTCACGGGGTCCCTCCAATCCAAATCCCACAGAAAGGGCATTAACAGCCTCCAGTGAGATGAAGTCACAAATCCAATTTACAAGTAAACAAACCTGTCCCTGCTCAAGAACAAGCAAAAGAAGAAAAGCAAACATAAATGCACAGGTGCCATAAAATGTTATGTAATACAAAGACATGATTTACAACATTGAAAGCACAGAAAAATTAGCAGAAAACAAAATAAACAGTAGACAGCAGGTTGCATTTTTCATACAAACAAATAGGAAAACCACATATCCTGAAACTCTGAAAGAGATGGAAGTTGAAACAATATAATATAAAACAGAAAAAAATGGATGAGCAGGCAGAAACTGAAATGAAACTGGTGAAATACAGACAAACGACTGTATAGGGAAACAGGAAATTCAGCAGCAAAACAAGTGATTTATGAGTAGATTGAAAAAAAAAGAAAATTAACAGTGTTGAAAATTATATCAGCTCTACCTCAAAAACTCCCTCAACAGATTGAAAAAAAAAATTCAGAATTATGGGCCAGAGGGAATACAAAGGATGTAAATGGCTGACAAACAATATAAGAAAGATGCATATTCTTTTTCTTGAAGTCACAAAAACAACATTGCCAACGATCACAGATACAATGGAAGAAAACTTCCTCCCGTCCACCAGCTAAGTAGAAACAGTAAGAAGAAAACAATAAACACCTGGGTCTCCTCAGCTGACTGTATATGAGGATAAAGAACTACTGAAACATCTTTGTGGGCTTAAGGTGTGGGACCAGAAGAGAGCAGAAGCAAATTCATAACTCTCACTAAATTTCAAAAAACCATAATCATAAAATAATTTTTAATTTACATAAGCACATAGGGGATAGGAAGCACAGATGTAAAGTCAGCAGACTCAGCTACAATAAGACTTTCCTTCCTTCATAACAGCTTCTCTTTGGGGCAGACACAACTGTAGCCTTGTATGATAATCCATAATAATTTATATAGAGGTTCCATGGGGCTTTCTAAGAGTTTCAAGGATTTCTGTGTAAATTGACATAGATTGCTCAAAAGAGCAATATGCCAATCAAGCAAGAAATAAGAGTGTATATGTTCATGACTAACAACCAGTAAGTATTTTCTGTAGGTGAACTTGACAAACAGCATAGGGCTATTCTTTGAAGTGTCAAGATTTCTCAAAATGTTAGTATTGTGCTGAAATTCGACAATTCTCAGACATACTTTTCTAATGTCTCAATGTCTTTTAAATATAATGTAATGTTTCCTTGATATATCAGTATTAGTTAGAGAATGATTTTTTTTTTATCATGATCACTGATGTCCTCAGGATTTCTGAGGTGTTTGTCTCTATATTAGATTTCCCTTGGCTTCTGTTTCAAACTTTAACCTTGCTTCTATCACACTGCTTGGAGTTAATGTCTCCAGAACTGAAGGCTGCCAGGAGAAACTAGATAATGAAATCTATTAAATCCATAACTTAATCTCACACAATTATAATTCAGTAAGTTCAAGGTAAAAAGCAGTTGGCCCTGATCTACAAAACAAAAATTCAGGAAGCTAATGACACTCATTTCCTTCTGTTTTTTCCACTGGCTCTCAGGGTTTACAGCTATGTTCAAGGTTTTTTAAGCTGTTAAAAGGACAACTCACAAGCACTGAGCTTCTTCTATCTGTCAGAAACATAGTATATCACTTAATAGATAATCGGTGCTGAGACAAAGCTTAACCAACTTGCTCATGGGCACACAAAACACAGAGAGCAGAATGCCGGCCTGGGCAGAAGGCTGATCCTATGCCTTTTTGAGAAGAGGGGTTCTCACGGTACATTTCAAGTTTCATCTTTCCTGGATGTCTGTTAAATAATACAAGAATGGCTGCCACACAGAACTTATATAAGCACCTCTGGGGCCGGGACCAGGAAACCAAATCTATGCAGGCTTCCCAAGTGATTTCAATACTCACTGATGTTTGATAAACCACTGTTCTAGAAACTGAATGTGACATAATTATGATGTCAACAATAAAGGAAAAAAAAATATTACCTTGCATTTCCTTCTCTGCCTCTTTTATGGGCTCCTCTATCTATAAGGCTTATATCCTAACAAACCTTGTTACATTCACACTTCATAAGTGTCCCTGATCAATTTCATCCAATGCCAAGCTTTAAATCCGTCAACATCATGCTTCATGATTCTCTACTTCTAGTCATTTCAAAACTCTAATGAAAAGTTTAAATTGTTTAAATCTTAAAATATATATATTTGTTATGATTGGTGTTCTCTTGACCGGTATGAGCTGCCATCCGTTATGAGTGCTATTTTTCCAGTTCCAGCTGCTCCACTTCCAATCTGGTTCCCTACTACTGGCCTGGGAAAAGCAGTGGATAATGGCCCAAATGTAATACTTATATTTATTCATTCAGGGCCACAAGATGGCTATGAATAATAATAAAGATAACCATTATGTAACTTGACATTAAGTTTGGTTAATATGATATGATCTATTTGTTTATGTTGTTTATGCATCAACCACAAGCAGAAGCTTAGTTAAAAAACAAAGTGGTATGAAGTAGCTGTGAATGAAGAATATATAAATTCTAGGCATTTTTTGTAGAAAGCCTTTTATTTGCACTTTTGGGAGTTGTAGCCACTGTTTTCCTCTAGAAATGAGATTCACATTATGATTATGATATGGAATAACTAATTAAGATAATGATGACACAAATCTATCTAATGACTTACACATAGTAACTGCAGAGAGCCTTCTACAATAATTAGAGAATGAACACCTCTGCTGTTACTCAGGCAATATGAGAGCCACTGGAAATGTCCAGGTTAACCTGCAGTTCCGTTCTGAGATGACAAGGGCAGAAGACCTTCACCTTCACTTCCGGCTCACTCATCTCCTCTCAGCTTCTGATCACATCTTGCCTCCAGCCTTAGCTCCTCCAGCCCTTCTCCTGACAGTGTCAGCAGGACCTTTCCAACATCTCTCAGTTCTGTGTGCCACCTGCTTACCTTCAGTGCTCAGAAACACCAGCTGGCCTAAGACAGGAAAGACCAAACTCCTGATAAGGGCAGGTGAAACCCCTGCAGCTTGACCTCACCCTTTCCCAGCTCACTAGTTCACCTACTGGCTCCTGCACATCTTACGGTTTCACCGGTCCCCTGGACCCTTCTGAGCCAGTGTATTATACCACTCTGCAATAATGCCAGCTGATGTTCAATGCCTAGCTCTAGGAATGGATATTGCTATAACTATACATCTAAACACACACATACATCTCTGTCTATATACGCACACACCTACCTTTCCCTGTGTATGCACACACGCACGTGTGTATATAGCAACAACTATATAGCTATATAAAGGAACAGAGCAGCACACAGTTTCATTTAAAATATATCTCCAGAAATCTATATAGGTATATTTTAAAGCAAACTGATTCATTTGATTACAATACAGTATTTGCAGTCACTAGACCCTTAGTAAAACCTAATTTGTGCTTATTTCTGACCACTGATGAACTCCTACTAAATATCACAAGCACATTTTTATGATTTCTTTTTTAATTTTTTAAAAGTACATTTCACTTTTCTATAATATTACAGGTTAAAAATAAAGACCTTTCATTTAGTACTTATTGTAATCAACTTTAAAGTTGACACTTGCTTAACAAAGACCCAAAGTTCTATCAAAATGCAACTATTTCTTTTCTTCTTAATTATCTCAGAGGCAAATACGTAGAGAGCTCCCATCCTCTGGCTTGCTCCTAAGTACCCTCCGTGGCTGGTGCTGGGCATAGCTAGGACAATCAGGAGTCAAGAATCCCACTGAGGACCCCCGTGGGAGTGGCAGGGACACAGCTACCGGAGCCATCACTTGCTGTTTCCCATGCTTCATAAGAACAAAAAAACTGGAATCAGAAGTCAGAGCCAGAACTCACTTCTGTAAGAGAGGGAAGCATCTTAACAACTTAACTCCTAAGTCACAGCTCACTCCTCAAACAGAAATAATTTCTGATGAAGTAGTCAGGGGCCATGGAGTGGCATAGCTGGTAAAGCTACTGCCTGCAATGCCAGCAGCCCACGAGTACTAGTTCAAGTCCTGCTGTTTCACTTCCAATCCGGCTCCTAGTTAGTCTGCCTAAGGAAGCAACAAAAGATAGCCCAAGTGCTTGAATCCTGCTGCCCACATGGGAGACTCGAAAGAAGCTCTTGCCTCCTGCTTTGACCTGGCGTGGCTCTGGTCATTACTGACATTTAAGGAATGGATGAGCAGATGAAACATCTCTCCTCTTTCCAAACTCTGCCTTTCAAATAAATAAAATAAATCCCCTTTCAAAAGTAAATTCCTACTTTTTTTTAAGATTTATTTTATTTTTATTGGGAAGTCACACATACAGAGAGGAAATTTCATAGACTGATTCACTCCCCAAGCAGCTGCAACGGCTAGAGCTGTGCCGAACCAAAGCCAGGAGCCCGCAGCCTCTCCCCGGTCTCCCACAGAGGTGCAGGGTCCCAAGGCTTTGGGCCGTCCTTGACTGTTTTCCCAGGCCACAAGCAGGGAGCTGGATGGGAAGCAGAACCTGGCAGGATTAGAACTGGCACACACATGCGATCCTGGTATGCGCAAGGTGAGGACTTTAGCCACTAGGCTACCACACCAGGCTTGATTCCTACTTCTTACAAGCAAAAATACTATTCTTCTTTATACAGCAGATGGAAACAAAACACAATATAGAAATTTCAAATGTCAGAAATAATTTACACAGTCCATACATAACATCATGATTAGTTATAAAATGCTGATACCCTGTCCCAGGACATCTCCTCTATCAAATGAATAGGGAGAAAAAGAGATACATTTGTGTGGTTGTTTTGCTACTACAATACAATAGGTCTTCTAATTATATACATACACCCTGTCACTCTAACAAAAAACATGAAAAAGAACCATGATGCTTTTTTGACATCAATATACATTTCACACAAAAAATTTCAAACTGAACAGCTTTTCTCTCTTTTTTCCTATCAATGCTGACTTGTGGTGGAAGTTTAAGAGAAAAGGGAGGTCAATTTCAATGAAAAATGTTATTTCCCTGCTGAGTCCTGAAACTTTTATTATATTAAATTATCTGTATTAAGCCAAAATTTTCTACTGACTTTTATCATATATTTAAAAGACATTACAGGGAAGAAATTATAACCACATGATGTGATAAATAACTTTGATATGCATTTAGAATGACTTGGTAGGACCAAGGCTACTTATAACTGCCACCGGTGCTGGGCTATTCTTTAATGGGGTTTGGGAGGAAAGGGCAGAGAAAGAGGTGAGTAGTAGGAACTACTAACACTTGCTCCACTCGAAGCGGAAAGAGAGAAGTCTCAGTGATAGTGTTGATGCGAGATCCTACAAACGGCAGACAGAAGAGGAAAGGCAGAAACCCAAATCAAAGCATGGGTGTGCAACAGGTTTCTAAGCAGCCTGTCAGTCACAGGCCTCGCGGAGGGGTTCAGAACAACCTCTGAGTAATGTGTCACATTGGGCTTTGGAGCCGCGGGATCCTTGCATTGCCTTCCAATAGCCCTGTGTGAACCTCTCCTAAGACTCACTCAGTGTCTGCTGTTGATCCATCCATCCTGGACAATGCTATTACAGTGTCTTCCTCAAAGCCCCATTTGGTCACATAGTACTCTACTTCACGGTCATATCAAAAAACAACCCTAGCCAAGTCCTTACTCTCATCAGCCTGAGGGGCACCTCTTCCAACCTACACCTTGCTCCAGCCTGACTCCAGGTCTACTCCCTCCCAGGGCCTCAGACAAGGCAACAGAGGCTTTGCTATCACTCTGCCAGGAATCCCCTCCTTGCATTTCACTGTGTAGCTCTCCCATGCTGCAATAATACCTGCGAAATGGGTGGCTGCGGAGGCTACCAAGCCCCAGAACAAGATGACAGCAGGGCAGCATCTGCTCAGAGCTACTTTACGCTGAAAAACAGTGCTTTAGTTCCTGTGTCCACCGAAGGGCAATGGAAAGGGCTCAGAGATCATGTGAACTGTTTTTGTAAAGCAACTGAGTTTGTTCTTGAAAGCAAAGCCCACACGGCCCAGCCAGCTTCCAATAGCCCCAGCTTGTGGTTAAGTTCCAATCCATGTGCTGTGAAGCAACATCTATGAGTATATTCAAAACATAATATTCATCCACCAGGAAGTCTTCCTGATTTCACCTAGGCATCAGCCCTTCCTCTCTTGTGACCCAAACACATTTTCATCTAAATTACTTACCACATTCAACTGCAATGATGACTTTACCTGTCGAGTCCCCACTTTCAACCTCAAAACAACCTTCTCTCACTGATGTCCATATCACAAAAGTTGTGAGCACTTCAAAGAGTCTTTGTATCCCTAGTGCCCATTGCCTACCAACTGGCCAATAAATATTTATTGAATTGAAAAAATGAATTAATGAGTAAATGAATGGATGCCTTGATGGAAATCTAAACACCTACAGCCTAAGAAAATTGATAAATGAGACTCGTGACAATCACAGGAAAAGGAAGGACATGAAAGGATGGATGTGCTTTCACACAGAGATAAACTATGCTCTGTAGATATTTGTTACTTAAGGGCCCCCAATGGCTATGAATAATAAATACAGGCAGTATTTATGGGCACAAAGGTAAGTGCATGATTTACCCTAGAGGACAGAGCTACTCTCTCTAAGCCATTACTATCTTGATAGGTCAGTATGTTTTTGGGCACACATGGTAAGGTAGAAAACATGAACACTGCCTGTCAAACGATAACAAAGTACAGTTTAACCTCGTAAGTGGTATCAACTCCTCCTGCATGTCTATAATCCATTTATCTAAATCCTACTCTCTTGGCGGATTACAGTTCTCATATATCTAAATAGTTCTTTCTAAAGTTTAGGTAAATGGCTTGCACAATGAGGCTGTACAGATCAACTAGCTGATCTTACAAAAGAAAAATAAATATTGCATTTGACAGATTGTTTTTCCTGGAAAGAAAAGATACAAAGGAAGGAAATCAGAATCACAACAAAGAAGCAATTAGAAGCTGCCCAAAGATCTTTTTTTTTTCCCTAGAATATCTTAAAGGAGAGAAATTAAGTTGGAAATTCCCAAGGAAGCAGCAAAAAGAAGAAAGAAACACCAATGACCACAGACCCTAACTCACTGGAAACAGGAGGACTTGCGGCAACAGAAAGAGAGGGTCTGAAAGAGATGGAAGCCAGACTTCCTTTCAACTATCCACACGAAAAGGGAACCTGAGAATGCTCACTTTCAATGAGGGACTAAATTGATGACAAAGCCATTAAAATAAGAATTATGAAGAATGTTAGCACACAAATTCTTATCAAGCAAGGGCAGGATGAGTATCTAATTAATATCCAAAAACTTCTAACTAGAATGTACTGAACTGGCCTTGCAGTAAAATATAAACATTCCCTGTCTTTAGCAATCTTGCTGATCTATGACTCACAGCTGGCACCTGCTCTTTAGAACAAGGAATGGGGCACACAAGGACATTAGTTTTCATTGATGCCTAAACTAAGGCAGAAATGAAAAGCATAACGGATCACAGCCATGAAGAGTTCCCTATTCTGGTCTTTCTATATGGAAAGCTAAGATCTGAATCCAAATTCTTCTTTCAAAATGTGCTTTTTTTCTGCTCTCAAAACTCTCAGGACCTTATGGTCTTTCCTTTTCCAGAATTTTTACAACTGTAGCCTAGGGGATAAATATTTCCTAAGATCAAAGGTCAGTCATATTAAATTCTTCTATTTTTTTAGCTCTCCTAATCCAAAAAAACAAAATTATGCTTTTAAGGTATTCTGGAGTTTGAAGCACTTGTCAGATACTGAAATGAATAACCAATCAGTCTCAGACTGTAACTGCCACAGTCCTCAGTTGTTCTTTCTCTACTTGTGCCCAAGTCGGGAAGGGGAGGCGACCCGATACAGCGGGAAGTCGATGCATCCGAACGTCAGCAGTACCTTTATCACTTCCGTAATAATAGAAGACCGTCCTGTTGAGGGCACACCACCGCTTCTGCCATTCAAATCCCAGAAAGCTGTGATCTGTAGTAAAGGGGAGGGGGAAAACAGGATGCACAGACTTAGGCCATTTCCTTATTGGCAATGGAGAAGTCAATTAATATGATTTCTGAGGTTCCTTCTGGCCCCAGCATTCTATAACATCTTCTATTCCAACAGGCAAGACCAAACATCACGACAACAAACCCAACAAAGGTAGAAGGAACAATGGGAAGCAGAGGTGGGGCAGGGGGAGTGGGAGAGGGTATGGCAATATATGGCAATATTTAAGGGATCACAGGCATGGCTAGCAAACTTTCCTTCCTGATCAACAGTCCAGGGAAACTCTGAGTGCATGGTCTCGAGACAACTGGTCCCCCTGAGCCTTGCTTTCTCACCTGATACAAAAGGGAAGGGATGGGCCTGACTGAGAACCTTTCTGTCATCTCTGAGCTGCACAGCCTGGCTAAGAAAACTAATAACATGGGACATAAACAGAAGAGCCTAAAGGGACAAACCCAAGAATAAGTAGAAGGAAAGAAGCGGCTCCCTGCTGTCTGGCAGCAGCATCGTACATCTGCCTCCATACTTTGTCTTCACTAAAGATCGCTGTTGTAAGAGCCGGACCGCAGGGTCAGCTCCCAGTTATCAGGGCCAGTGTGACAACACTGAGATGAGTCATAGGCAACAGCACACAGGTGCCAGGCTGCAGCTGAACTGTAGCAGCCACAGCATAAGCCAGGACAGGTGCAACAAGCCCAGTGCTGGGCAGGGTGGGTTCAGACAGAGAAATTCTATCGTTAGGAATACAAACCTGGCCAGCGGCTTTCCTGCATGACACAGCAAACTGCTCTGCATGCTGTGCAAATAACTGAGGTTGACAACTAAAACCTCCCCTGTAGTGTTGACACCAAAATCCTTGAAAAGCTGACAGTGTCAGTTTGTGGTTTGGATAAGATCATCTAGGTTTTCTGCCAGTCTTAGGACTCATCAGTTACCTAAACAGAACACTAGCTCCTCATGCATACGGCAAATGTGGGAGAAGAAACCTGGTAGAATTTTCATTAAAGTCTTACCTTTTCTGCGCTTCTCAAGGTAGCCTGCCTTCATGACAAAGGGCAGATCCTGCGCTGCAATCGGGGGAAACTGATTTCCTGTGGGAAGTGGGGAAGAACAGAACGATGGGTCATCCATTTTAGAAAAACCAAGTTCCAAATCTCATTAGACTCACCATTCTTATAATCACCAAAATTGCTCAAACCCAACTCTACAAGTCTGGTTTCAGATCCGTTCCACAAATCCCTCTCCCTTCCTGCACAGCTCAGGGGAAAGAGAGCTCCCTGCTCCCGTATCTTCATGTACAACGCTGTCAAGACACAGTAATACTTCTCTGACTACAGTCTACAAGGAAGGTACTTGGGAACCAGTAAAGAACTGCGAGAGATCCCTGAAAGAGAGGCCAGGATTTTTAAATCAAAATTGTAGGTTTCTATTAGATTCTCAAGGATTTCAATGCATACTGATTCCAGCCTGCATCATCTGCAAGCCTACCAAGCAAGGCATAACTGTATCCCCCAAATCAAATGATAAATTTGTTTTCCCTAAATCCACAGCTAATACCTTCTCCCCGGCTCTATTCATAGAGAAATACGACTTGCTCAACTAAGCAAGTATATTCCCTTTTTTCTAGAAAATTTAGGAGTGTAAAATGAGATATAATCTGATAGAACTATCATAAACACATACGCGATCTTTATAGAAAAGATAAGCTAAAAGTAAGTCAATCAGAATTTATACATTCATGATTATGAATATCAAGTTATGTACAAATTTTACAAGTCTTCAATATTTTTAAAAACTTGGTTATAAATACAAGTTATCCTCAGCACTTTACTAAAATTCTAGCAGTGAAAGCAACCTACTGAAAATGTCTATAGAACAAATAAAATGAAAATAATTTTAATACAACTTATGATAGAAAATATGCGTTTGAAAAAAATAAGGTTATGATATGCACATTCATCATAAAATATTACCAGCTGTCTTATTTTCTTTTTGAACTATTACAAGGGTCACATAACTGTAGTTAAATAGAGTCACAGATATTTTTCCTTAAGAAATAACACTTATAATTAAAGCACTAATTTCAGTTTTCTGGTGGATAGATTTCATTTGGTAAGCAGGAAATGGTATCAGTAAAACAAATTAAGATTATTTTAGGGTCTTAATATCAAAATAGAGTAATGTTTTGAAATGCATATAAAATTATAGGAAAAACCAGTATAAATATTTGAATAACTGGTCAATGAATTTATCCATGTGTCTTTTATTTGGAGTAAATTTGATCCACACAAAAATAGAACAATATGAATTTTGTTCAAACAACAAGAAGTACATTAATGATAATCCCTTTCTCCAAAGGGATTTTTAAGCCTTGGAAGCACCATTTGATCTGTACTGCAGCACATGCTTACAAACATTTAATATTTTTGAAAGTCGGTTATAACACACAAGAAGTTATAATGCCAAGGGAAATGAGCGAATCCCAAAAGGTTAGATACCACATGTTTGCCTTAATTTAACCTGTATTTTTTTTATCCTGTCATTGATACTGTCTCAATACATGTGTTTCGAAAAATTGAACTTGCATTATTTTTAACATATTGTTTATTCAATACTATGTCAATCAATTCCATAACACTATATACTGTTGCTGATGTTTTGTTGGGGCTTTTAACTGACCGGGATTTTACTCTGTTAGCTTTGCCTTCAGACCAGGGAAGGCCTCCCCAAGAAGCCATTAAAGTTATCAGGACAATAAGATGCTGGACTTAATGCTGGGTATGTGCTTGCAATGAAGGAATCTCAACTGAACTTGAACTGTGGTTATGCACCATGGGGGGAGGGTTGTGGGAGGAGCGGGGAAAATCCAAGCACCTATAAAACTGTATCACATAATACAATGTTATTAACAATTAAAAAATAAAGATATTTTAAAAATATTATTATTTCTCACATTATTCAGATGTCATTATGGTATAATGATCAATACTATGCTATCTTTAGGAGAATTTAGAGTGGCCCAAAGAATTAAGCTTATACAGATGCACATTTAATGACCCATGAAAAAAACAGGAAATTAATGCCAAGTAAAGCTATCTGGCAGGCAACAATGAAGGGCTCCCAAACATTGGCCTTAAGTCCCAACTCCTTCATCTTATTGCAAGAAATGACACAACAAAATCCTACACTTCCTTAGCTCTGTTTCACTCTCAAATTCACAGCCTGGGTACTAAAACTAAGTTTTACATTGCAACTCAATCCTGTAGCCTACAGTAAGTAGTCAGTAAATGTTGGCTTTTATTAATTACTATATGTCATGTATAACTATAATCACTATTTCAAATGACTGGAGGACAACATAAATGCGCAACTATAGTTGAAACTGACCACCACACTGTGCCTTTGACAACCAGGCCGAGGCTCCTTCCTTTAGTTTAAAGTTTCTTTGCTCCACTTTTAATAACACTAACTCACTCAACTGAGAGAGGATTGCAGCTGGTCCCATAGACTCCGCAAACATCAGACACATGAGTTAATTTATTTCTTCTACAGACAACTTGTCTTGAAGATTTTTCTAGGAATCCCAGGAAGAAGAAACTATCAAATAAGTGACTGCAAACCACTTTGATTTCATCAAATGCCTCCAAGCCACGTATCAGTGACCAATTATGAGAGGGTCATAAACACTGCAGCTCAACCAGGGACGTGGGGATACCTGGATGGAGCTTTGAGCTCCTGGTGTCAGTCTCACCCAGCCCTGGTTACTGTGGGCACTTGGTGGGGTGAATCAGCAGAGTGCTATCTAATTTCAACTAGCAAATCCTTCCCCTCCCATCTACCTATTTTATCGTTTAATTTTCCTCCAGTGGTAATCAGAATTGAAGTACATTTTGAGGTACTATTTCTCAATGCTATTATAATTCCAATAAATTATAACTTTGTACAGAGGTTAAAAAACTATTTTCTGTTTGGCTTCCAACTGTCCTTGCAGATGATGGCCAACGTCTTGCTGACATCTTTGGTGGGAGGGTATACTGGCTATTTAGCTTTAGCAGAGAGGATATAAATGGGCCTCAATTCCCAGGGCTATTACTGACTCAGAATCTATCCCATTAAAGTGCAGTTTAATTATACTTTACACGCGAAGGCATACATTTAGATGCATTTTCCTTGCTTCCTAAAGGTAACAGCACACACAGCTGTAGGTTTGCTGAGACTTTTTTTTACTACTCTAAAAAGTTTTAAGTGTAATAATTCACTAGCATACCTGCAAAGCAAACAAACAAAAACAAATCAAGGTTAAAAGCCTATGCAACAAGGGAGAGAAATGTAAAACTCACTTGGGGACCCGATGCAGTGGCCTAGTAGTTAAAGTCCTCACCTTGAATGTGCCAGTATCTCATATGTGTGCCAGTTCTAATCCCAGTGGCCTCACTTCCCATCCAGCTCCCTCCCTGGGAAAGCAGCCAAGGATGGCCCAAAGCCTTGGAACACTGCACCCACGTGGGAGACCAGGAAGAAGCTCCAGGTTCCTGGCTTCAGACTGGAGCAGCTCCAACCATTGTAGCCACTTGGGGAGTCAATCAGTGGACAGAAGATTTTCCTCTCTGTCTCTCCTCCTCTCTCTATATCTGACTTTCTAACAAAAATAAATAAATATATATTTTTTAAAAATCTCACTTGGATATACATACTAAATAAAATTGTTCGGTGGTACTGCAAATACTCAGGAGCTTAGCTTTACATTCATATAGATGGTTAAAGAACCTATAAGGAAATCCCAACTATGGCAACTTGTCATCTTATATAGGTCATTTGCCCTCTCTAGAACTTAAGTTTCCATAATTAAACATGAAAAGTTAAATTAGAAGATCTCTAAGGCTTTCTAGACTCTAGGACTTCATGAAATCCATGCTTATACTTTTCATGCACTTTAGCAAATGGCCAAAGTCCAAAATGAGCTCTGCTCTCAATGATGTTAAATGAAAAAACTGTTTACAGAATGCATTTGTACAACATTAAATAAAGCTTCCTTTACGTGTAGTTTTTGCTATTTCCTATCAATTTTATATCATACATTTATTTATTTTTAACTGCTACTAATTTTCATCTACCAAAATATATACAATTCAAATGACAACCAAGACTCCATAATAATTGAAAAAAAACCAGAAATCAATTATGTTCAGTAATATTCACCAAGCTAGTACTCAAAAAGTCACAAGCCAAAAGTATGAATAAATTACATCATCCCATAGAATCCATTTTCCTTCTCCACTCACTTTACAACTGCTTCTTTTACTTTAGAACAGAGTTGGGAATGTCCGGCTTACGGGCCTTATATGTGGTCTGGCTCTGTCAAGACAACTGTAGGCAGAACTCAAAATTCATTAAATCTGTAGCAGGCAAATTTTTTAGGTGATCATTTTGCATGGCCTGTGAATGACATTATAAATACCCACATAGCCCTTAGCAGAAAATGTTTCCTCTCAAAAAATAAATCTTTTACAAAAATGGTTTCTGGCTCTTTGGTTTCTTGACAGAATGTCAGGTGTCACATTTATAACCACATTAAAGCTGCTCGTTCTAGAATGTTAAAGTGCGGTTTCTATCTAAGACTTTCCTTCATTTGTGGAAAAACCTGTAAGACTCTCTCAGTTATTCCCAGGAATGATAGCATATCAATATACCAAATCAATCATTTAAAAATAAGTTCAATGTGATAAATTTCACTTTGCAGACAAGACTACCATTTCATTTATTTATAAACAGGATACTCCCCCCTCTCTTTTTTAATTTTGTAAATGCTGCCTTGCAGTGATAGATCTTGACACATCTCATGGAATGAACTGAAGTCAGATTTCATCCTCTACATCTTAGTAACTCCTCAGCTACTTTGTATCTGCCTATGCAGAAGGGTTTCACAAAGTCTGTGTAAGATCCCCATGATCAGCTGATGCCATTATTCCACAAGCTTTTTCAAGCACTCTCATATCTTAGTCATCTGCTCTAAGAAGGAGTCTGTCATGTATCTTCACTTTTATAAAGCAAGAAACAAGCAGAGAGTAAGTATGTGTTTCTCCCAAAGTGG